CACAAGCTGCACGGTCCATTTCCTTCGGCGGCCAGAAATGAGCCACGATGCACCACCGAAGATCCGATGCATGTCCACTACGCCCAACATAGATACAAAGGTACGCCCTGCGTACAGAGGTTACGCCAAGCGTAACGCGAGGCCTCGGCCACCTATAAATAAGATGCGAGACTACCCGAATTATTTTGCAAATTCACTCTTTCTTTCACTCTCTACTTTATCTCTCTCTCTCTCTGTGTGTGTGTGTGTGTGTCTCTCTCTCTCTCTCTCTCTAGCCACCCTAAACCAACCCAATGCCTATGGAACCTCCCTAACACTAGAAGAAATCCCTGGAGCACCCAAAGGCTCCGAGAAAGAGAGAGAGAGAGAGACCTAAACTTTTTCCTTCAGATCTAAACTTTTTAGATATAAAAATGTATATATGAATTTTATACTTGAGACCTATACTGGATGAAATATTTAAACTTTTTTTTCCAGATCCAAACGTTTTCTTTAGATCTGAACCGTATATGTATTTTCTTTTCAGATCTAAACTTTTTCTTCAAATCTGAACTGTATATATGTATTTTATATCTACGAACAAGTTGGGTAGAACATGGGAAGATGAAATACTTGGTGTGTGATGAAAAATGAGTTGGAGGATGAGATGAAAAACTAATGTAGATCATGAGATGAGGGTGAGGGGTGAAAATAGAAAGAAACTTTTACCCAAGCATTGGACTCGTCATCTAGCAGAGTATGGATGACAAGCATGGACTATTCTAGACGGTCCTTGGAACACTAGCAAGCTTGTAACCTATAGGTGTTGTGAACAATATGTTCGCCCAGTGTACTCTAAAAATCCATTGACATGTATTGCAGGTGGACTCCCGCAAATAATAATGTCGATAAATAAGAGCTATGGACTTCGCACCCATTCCATGAACCCTAACAACTATGGATTTAGTGCATGTTGTATAAACCCTAGCGAAGATAGACTTCGTGCCTATTCCTTAGGTAAAAAATCCTTAGGAATGAGTGAAAGATGATTCTAAGGGTAAATCCTTAAGAAATAAATAAGATAATGGAGATGGGTAATTGGGTTAATTGTTTGATGATAAAACCTAATAACTTTACTATTGTGGGTTGAAAATCCTATGTACCCACCAGGTTTCCCAACCTGACTCACTCAGTTTATTTGTATCACAGGTGTCAATGTAAAGCCACACTACATCGAGAGATTTAAAGAAATGTAGATCACTAATGTAAATGAATGTAAGTTCTCTTTATGCTTATGCTTTTGTATTGACGATCACATCCCAAAGTTTTAAAATGAATAAAATACATTTCTTCGTAAAATGCCTCGATAACGAATTTATCATGTTTTTCTGGGGACAAATTCTGCAAAACTTTTCTTTAAAAAGATACTCTGATTTGAAAATAAAGCATAAACAAATTGGTCTTTTCTGGTCATGAAAATGGGGATGTCACATTACTTATACGGATTTTGGTGTAGCATCTTTACTGATCATAAAAATTTGAAGTATTTGATGCATCAGCAGAACCTTAACATACGGTAGAGGAGGTGGTTGGATGTACTGAAAGATTATGATTGGGAGATTTTGTACCATCTAGGGAAGGCCAACGTGGTGGCTGATGCCTTGAGCCACAAGGTGGTGAGTGCTCTAATTAAAGATATCTTTCTTAGGATGATGGTGACTTCCCCCTTGATGGATATGATCAAGGAGGCTCGGGTAGAGGGTTTAAAGAAAGAGAATTAGAAGATAGAGCGGATTCAGGGTCAGATTCTCTTGTTTGTTCGGGATGGTTGGGGTCTTTTGACACAGAGTGGCTGGGTGTAGGTACCGATATCCGAGGGTGTGATGCAGAAGATCTTGGGGGAGGCGCACAATTCCAAGTTCTCTATCCATCCAGGGGCCATAATAATGTACAGGGATCTGTGGTTGAATTATTGGTGGCCCTGCATGAAGCAGGAGAATGCATGGTTTGTGGGATGTTGCTTGACCACTAGGAAGGTCAAGGTCGAACATCAGAGGCCCCACAACAAAATTCAGCCATTACCCATTCCCATGTGGAAATGGGAAGTGATCACCACAGACTCATCACGAAGTTACCAAGGACGATGAGGGGTGTGGATTCCATATGGTTCATTGTGGGCAAACTAACGAAAAGTGCTCATTTTATTCAGATCTCCAAGAGTATTTTCTACTGAGAAATTAGCATATATCTATGTCCGAGAGGTGGTGGTCAGGCACATAGTGCCGGTATCGGTGGTCTCGGATCACGATGCTCGATTCACATCTAGATTCTAGAAGAAGTTCCATGAGGAACTGGGCACACAATTAGACTTCGGCACCACGTACCAGCCTCAGAAAGATGGCCAAAGCGAGAGGATGATCCAGACGCTCGAGGATATACTACGGGAATACGTATTGGATTTAAGAGGGAGTCGGGATACATATATCCCACTAGCAGAGTTTTTATATAACAATAATTATAATGCTAGTACCAATCGACCCCCGTTTGAGATGTTGTATGGTCGGAGGTGTAGGACTCCCATATGTTGGGGGAGGTCAAGCACCAAGTTATGTGAATCACCGAGGTGGTGCTCAGGACCACCGAATTGATTCAGCAGGTGCGTAACAGGCTGCGGATCACACAGAGTCATAAGAAGAACTATGCTGACCGTCGTTGCTCGGATCTTGAGTTTCAAGAGGGAGATTATGTTTTGATGAAAGTTTCGCCATGTTCTTATACCAATCTTTCTCATCTCAAAATTCTTACACTGTCACACACGAAGACATATGTCCAATAGGTTTCTGATCAAACCAATCAAAACCTAGATATATCACAAATCTATGTTTATGATCAGACATCATGAGACCGTGATGAAAGTGAGACCCAAATCAATCAACCTTTAAGGAATTTACGGGGAACTATGTTCCAGGCTTTAATGGAATATTTGTTTATGTACCTTCATTCGAAACTCCAAATCATATTCATTTCTTATGAGTGGACTTGATCAAATATTCGAAACCCACGATGTTTGTTACCCAACAAGATCCAGAACACAATTTTTTTCTTGAATATGATTTCAGTGTGAGTTTTATCCGAAATTCAATGTTACTTCAAAGTTTTTCAAAGCAAACTTGTCACTGACTACACTGGTCAAATAAGTAATTTATGTTACACTTACTCACCTTATGTTAAGGTTGATATGTAACGAAATTCATTAAACCACCTCAAAAGCCTTTTAAAAGAAGCCCTTCGATACTTCTTTAAAAGTATTCGATTGTAATTCACGGGGAACATACACAAGTTGTTGATTATCTCTCTTGATAATTAACGAAGCAATCTTTGCTCGGGGTTTTAACTGCCTTCGTATCAAATTGAATTTTTGACATCACTGAATATCAAAAAAAAATTAATTGCTTCTCATCTATATTCTTTGAAACACTACACACACGAAATCCTTAAGGTTCTCAGTAACACCAACTCAGGTTGATGATTTCAAAAATCAGGCAAATGACTTTACTTTGAAACCCTAAATTAAAAGAGCATTACTTCCATACGAAGTGTTCTGATGGTTACTATTCCATTGGGGCAAACAATCCAGCCTGTTTGAGGGGATTGTTTGTATTCTGTGCGGGTTTTGACGAGACGTGATAGTTACTTTATCACGCATGGTTACTTTTTCATCATCATGATGCGGTTTTCTCGGTGACACGTCACAGTTCATTAAATGCTCATCCCGTTTTGATTTCAAAATCAAGAGTTACATATAAAAGGAGATTCGAGGGTTCATTATCAGTTTACGCTTTCAAATTCCCAAATACTCTCTAATAAAAATCTAGCTTTCAAACCCTAACAATGGCAACTGCTGCTAATCTTGATGCAACTCTTTCTCACACCACAGATAATGTTACCTCATTGCCAATTATGAAGATTCAGGGTACAAATTATCAAGCAGAGGCAAATGTTTCTCTATATCATGAAGAACTCAAGATGCTAATAGTTGCTCTAAAGAGTTATGTACTGTCAAAGGCTATTTCAACTCGTTCTTTGTTCCTCTTTCATGGCTCTCTCAAGCTGGATCAACAGATACTTATTCGAAATCTTTGGATGCAGTTACGTTCAATCTTGTGACTGATAAAAAGGTTAGACAATCAAAGAAGCTTTTCTGTTAGATTCTCGACATCCCTAATTCCCCACCATCTGTCAGTTTTACCTTTCCACAAATTGTACATATGTTCAAAGAAATGGGTCATCAACCTCAACTATCAAAGATATTTCACTTCAAAAAGTTAGGTCTTCCTAGTGTTTGGAATTTCTTGTTTAGCATTTTCCTGAGGTGTTTAACTAGAAGAACCGTTGGTTTGGATAAGGGGAGAATGGAGGTTTATGCCATGGTAGCAGGGCTATATTATGATCTTCAAGTCGATTACCCTACTCAGTTATGGAAAGAATTCTTGAAGAGTATTGAAAACACGAATGCTCTTCATGGCATTTCGTGTGCCCGATACTGGAGCTTGATTTTACAATATTTCTATGAGAAGGAGGGGATTCTTATTCCTGCAGATGAAGAAAAAGTTTTTTTCCATGTGTATAGTTGTCCAAAGGATGCAACTGATGATACTGAATTGTTTCCAGTTGTTGCTCGTATTCCAGATGCCACGCCTAAACGAGTTGATCCTACAAACACTGTTTTAGTAACTTACTTGCAAACAATCGATACCACTGTTGAAACTGGAATTCTTTTGGAAAGAGAAGAAGAGACGAATTCCAAATGTTCGAAGAAGACTATTGTTGGTTCTTCTGAGAAACAAGATTGTTGCTGGTTCTTCTGAGAAACAAGTCAATGAGTCTAAATCTATAAAGATTCCAAAGAAGTTACCGGTTACAGAAGCAGAGCCAACAAAACCCATAGTTTCAGTTGCTGACACACCATCAACTCAAAAAAAATCATTCCTTCAAAGACTGGTGTTTTTCGCAGAATAAAAATGAAATCCAAACACAAGAGCCTATCTCCACTCACGAATGTTGTCCGAAAACCACAGGTTACTCATCAAGGACTTCTATTTCGTGAGATTCCTACCCCTGCTTCACCATCTTCAAAGAAACGAAGGGCAACTGATATGGCTAAACACATTTCTAAGAAGAAGAAGAAGAAAAGCAAAATGATCATCTCTTCTGAGTCTACTACTGATGAAGATGAAACAATTCCAGAAACTCCAGAAGTTGATCTTCACAAACAATCTTCTACTCCTGCACAAACAGATGTTATACCACCCGAAGATTCAGTTGCCAAGTCAGTTTCTGAGGAGGCACGAAATCCTGACATTCTTGTAAACGTATCTAATACTGATACAAATGTCATCATGGGTGAGAATGCTTTGTATAAAGCTGACCAAGGTAAAACTTAGGATGTTATCTCAGAAATTGTTGTTTCTTTTCCTCCACAACTCACACCTATCGTTCCTACTACTTCCACCACTGATTCTCCTACCTTCGAAAACATTATCAAACAACCAATTACATCTCTTTTTTCTTCACAATCCACTTATCCACCAACAACAACTTCACCAATTCAAGATTCTAATTTTAAGGACACTGGGCATGAATCAAAAGGTTTTGGAGGGATGTTTGAAAATTTGGAGTTTGATGAAGAAGAAACTGTTTTGCCAGATCACATGCTAATGACCATGAAGCAGTTCAAGATTTTGAATACAAAGCTCAACCCTATTCTTTAATCACAGGCAGATCTTGAGGGAGGAAATTTCGTGACCAGTTTAGAAGTTGATGGTCTATTAAAAATCCTTGAAGGGAGGATTACTTCAAAAGTTTCAGGAGTGATCAAGGATTCTGAGTCTCGTCTCTTGGAGAAAATTGATATTTGTGATCATAGCAATAAGATGAGGGTAAATTCTCAGAAGTCTACTTTTGAAGGTGATTTTTAAAGAGTTAAAATTGGTGGAAAAGGAACGTCATGTCTTGTATGTTCAAGATGTTAAGAAGGTGAGAGAAGATGTGAATTTTAAACTTCGAGAGCTTCGCCAAGACATGGAAAAATAGATTGCAATTGTTCGTACATAATTTGCATCTCTAAATTAGAAGTTGGATATCATTTGTGATGTTGTAACAAAGTTTGCCAACTTGTATGAAAGTCTTAGTCCTCAAATAGATCAACTTTATACAACCGAAAAAAAGAATTTTATGGAAGTTTTCACACTGTTAATGGAGCTCAAAGCCTTATCCTCAAAACCAGCTTCGATTTCTCAACTATCCTTAGAAGATCTTATCAAGAAGTTTTCTCAATTTGAAGCCTTATTTCTCCAACAGTTGGCTCCTCTTTGTAGCATGTCTAGCCTTCTTCCCACAACAAATGCCCCACCTGCTGTTACAGGGGTGCAAAGGGGAGAAAGAAAAAGTAAAGGTTCAAAGGATGGAGGAGATGATGCGAAGGTGGTGGAAAAAGTATTTCCTTTGAAGATTCCAACAACAAAACCAGTTATAGCAACTGTTGGTCCTGTTTCTTTGACATTAGTAACAACTATGCCAATCACAAGACCAATTTTGAAAGGAATTATGATTAGTAAATCTGCTAATATTGGCGGGAGTGATTCGAAGGTAAAAGAAGTGATAGAAGAATCAACTTCGAAGGCAAGAGGAAAATCAATTCTGATAGAAAAATCTAAGGAAGAAAAGAAGGTAGAGGATGAGGCGGAACTAGAGAGGATGAGACTAGTACAAAGTATAATGACTCAAAGAGCAAGTGATCCTCCTGGCATGGACAAAGGTGATCCATCAAAGCATTACAACTATGAAACAATTGAAGCCAAGGTTGCATTTAATCACATTTATTCGTTCGAAAAGAAGCCAAAACAGAGTTAACGAATACTGATGCAAGCCAATTGGACTTTCTAATTAATGATATGATGTTCATCATGCCCCAGTTCAAAGCCAAAAGCAAGTTCAAGGAGAAGGATGAAGGAACTCACATGAAAATCAGGTTTCATGCAATTCTTGCGAGACCAGCTGAAGAAGTGTGGTCATTGACAAAGATAAAGAAGGTTATCAGCATAAAGAAGGATGTGGTTTTCAAAAACACAGTCCAAAATATGAAATATGTGGTGACCAGGGCGAATGGGAGTGTTTTTGAGTTTATAATTGCTGACTTTCCTTTAATGAACTTGTATGATCTTATATAAGTTGCATTACTGTTGAAGGAAAGATCTTTTTCGTATCTTCAGAACACGGATCCAGATGAGTACAAGTTGGGAGTTACTCATATCAATATTTTTATTGAAAATTATTATAAATGCTTAGCATTAACTGATGTAGAGTTGGCTACAGCTAAAGGACTGGAAATTACAGCACCCATGGCTCCTTCAAAGACACAAGCAGAATTAAAGAAGTATGATGATGGTGATATTTGCTTGAATCCATTTGGTTTAGTCTACTTTGGGAAGGACAAGTCTTGGAATCCAAAACATTTTTTTTCCAGGCTAGTGAGGTAGAAAGGTATTCAACTTTGCAATATACGAACTTAATTGTTTGTATGAATTATTGTAAGAAGAATGACGAAAGAGATAAAAAGAACTGAAGAAGATTATCTCATGGTACACTGAGATATGAAGAGTAATGTTGTATTCCATTCAACTGCTTACGAACTGAAGTCTTCGACTTTGATTACAAAGGGGGAGATTGTAAGGGTAGTTTAGTTGTAATGAGTCGAAGCTTATTTTGTACTCTTCGTATGGTTTGTAATGTATTTCACTAGGGCTCTTTTGATTCGAAGCTTAAGTGTTTTAGTCTTAGTATATTTTTTGTACGCTTTATGTATCCTATAAATAGGATCATTTACTAGAGTTAGATAACGAAAATAGCATTGTCTATTCTCTATGTAAAACTCTTAAAGCGTAATTGAGATGAAGTGAAATCTTATTTACATAGTGTGTTCAGTTACTCGTTCATTCTAAAACATCTACTTTGATTAAATTCATACTCAATTCATTGATTCATCAGAAGGGTGTCAATAGGTTTCGGAAGAGGGGCAAGCTAGCGCCCATTTTATCGGTCCGTCAGGATTTCTACCCGGGTGGGCAAGGTTGCCTACCAATTGGATCTACCAGTTAATCTTAGTCAAATCCACAACACCTTCCACGTGTCTCAGCTTCGGAAATGTGTTGTTGATGAGGTTGTAGTTATTTCCTTAAATGATATTCAGGTTTATGAGAGCCTAAATTACGTGGAGAAACCAATAGCAATTTTAGACCGGAAAACAAAAGCCATACGGAAGAACAAATAAGCCTAGTTAAGGTGAAATGGAAGCACCGAAGAGGTTCCGAATGGACCTGGGAGCCGGAGGATGAGATGAGGGAGCATTTTCCAGACCTTTTCACATTAGCAGACTTCAAGGACAAAGTCTAGTTCAAGTGGGGGAGATATGTAACGCTTGGTCTGGGTATGAATTAATTCTAGTTATTTTATTAAGTATTGGAAGGAACTCGACGAGTTGGGAGGCTCCAAATCATCGAGTAGAAAGATTTTCAGTCACGTAGATTGGAGGACCTATGATACGAGTTGGGGACCCTCAACTCGACGAGTTGGTGCTTGAAGGGAAAACCCTAATGTATTGGGCATTGTACCCTATTTAAAGGACTTAACTTCTAGGGCTAGCCTCCTTACCAACCTCTCTTGTCCAAAAGAAGCCCTAGACCATTTTTCCAATTGTCCATTGAGTGTTGTGAGTTTTAGAGTGATTGTTTGAGATCTTTGAAGGAGGTTTTGAAGAGAGAAGTATCAAGCTTAGAGGAGTGAACTTGGATCCAAAAACTCTACATCAAAGGCTATATCTTAGAGGTATAAAGTCATGACCTTGACATGTAGCTTATTAGATCCCTTCCCTTGTAGTTTTGGCTTGCTTTTGCGACTTTGACTTGAGTTTCCCAAAGAAAAGAGGTTTTCAGGTGTTAAGGGTGTAGATTTGGCCTCTACATGACCTCTAGAGGAATAAAGTTGCAAACTTTAATAGCCTCCATGTCCCATTCATGTAATATGTTCATTTTTAAGTCTAAAATGGACCTTCGAGAGTGTTTCAAGCATGCATGGATGTAAAGTTAGAAACTTTACGTGCTTTGTCCACCCTTAGACACTATATCTATAATTTGGAACGCTATAGTAAGGGTTTAAGGGCTTAATGAGTCAAGACCTTCCTTAAAGGAACTAGGGTTTGAGTTTAGATCTTATTGGGTGAATCTTGGTGGTAAAGCTGGAAACTTTACCCATCTAGACATCTCTATGAAATAGGATCTCAAGTTTGGAACCTTTGGATTCGAGAAAAAGGGCTTAATGCATTAAGTGAATTGACAGACTGAAGAACTCGACGAGTTTACAAGGGAACATGACGAGCTAGGTTGGGGTTACCTCAATTCAGTTGGAAACCGGAGGAACTCGGAGAATTATGGGAACACTCGTTGAGTTGGATCGCAATATCACGATTTTGGCTTTGGGATGGACTCAATGAGTTACAGAGGTAACTCGACGAGTTAGGTCAACTCGGAGTGTTGACTTTGACTTTGACCTTGACCAAGGATAACTTTTAAGTGTTTTGAGGGTTGAGTTGTGTCTAAGGAATTTTTTATGATTAATGAGGTTGCAGAGTTGATACTCGGAGTTTGAACTTACTCAGCTACAGTTCGCATTTGAGGTGAGTCTCCTCACCACACCAATGGGTCGAAGGCACCAAGGCCGGCCCATTACGTCTTATGTGGTATGCTAGTTGATTATGTGGTATGTGATATGCTAGTTGTCTTTATGATACTTTCATGGAAGACCCCAACCGGGGGGGGGGGGGGGGGAGGGGTGGAGCCTGTTGCACTTAGATGACAAACCATGTGGGGTGCCCATGGCATTCTAGGTAAAGACCATGGGGGTGCCCATGACACATTGGTGTAAGAACCTGGGGGATCCCATGACATCCTGGAGTAAGACCCTGGAGGGAGTTCACGACATTCATATATGTTTGTATGCTTGGCTCGAAGGGTTGCTATGGTTTATATGAGTATATGGATTGTGTGGGGTATGTTATGGGGAACTCACAAAGTGTTAGCTAACAGTTTGTTGGTTGTTTCAGGTAATTCGGGATCTAAGGGCAAGATTCCGGCGTGATGGCGCGACATGCACTCTCTAGTGTTTTACTCAGGACACTCTGATATTATGAATAAATTATCTGATGTTATGGATTTTGAAAACAAATGTGAATGGAATTTTATATTTTATGTAAATGATTTCATTACTAAAAAATGAAAAATTTTATTGGAAATTTGGGTTGTTATAAAATAAGCCATAAGGAGAAGCAGCTTATAAACATTCAAATGTAGCATCTGTTTTCAAAAAAGAAGAAAGGGAAAGAGAGCTATAAAATTTGGACTTCGACAACACTTTAGAGAGGATTTTTTGATGAAAAACTAGCTTGTTTTGCATCCTAACAATCCTTTATATACTTCCATACATGTATTAGAAGACCATACTTCCATTAAATATATGAACCATATTTTATAAGAGTGTAAGAAGTGAAAGAAGAAGTCAAATACTCAAGCTCTCATCTCTTATACAAACCCACGAGTTTAGGAGAGAGGTTGTGGGGTCTTGGAGTGTCTTTCACTTAAGGTGTAACAATATAGTTGAAAGACAATGTAACGCCCGTAGATTAGGGCTAGTCAATTTAAGGACAATAAGCATCAAAAAT